AAACCCGGATTCTAGCATTGAAAGTTCCCAGACATACTGCTGTGCCACTGGGGGGTGAAACCTTGTGACATGCACAGTAAAGGATGCCCATGGCAATAGAGTTAATAGAACATTTTACAGGACTCACCTTTCTATCATCTCACCTGGACCCTGGTCCATTCCAATCATATCTCGTTCCTGAGCCACAGCATCTAGAAATGCATCTTCCCAGAACTGCATGTAATCCCAGAGGGTTGAGCGTTCCTTACCTATGAAGTCGATGCACAAAAAATGGATCAATAATACATGAATCACCTTCTATTTAATCAACCAACACTCATATATCAATTATATTTATACAAAATTTTATTTTTGTTATTTCTGCATAAGTTTATACAATTTAATGGTAATTTACAAAACAATATTCAGAAACTGATTACTAATATTCCTGAAGCAACTTGAAAATTTTCGAGAAAATTTTCTAAATTGCTTCAGAGTTTTAGTAGTTAAGGGTTTTTAGTATAAGCAAGTAGTCAAGGATATATATATAAAAAGAAAAGAGGCAACAAGAGGATGCTTGTGTTACAAAATAGGCTTGCAAAATGAGCCTTGAGAATTGATAAACAGGAACTTAGTTATGTAAGGAGTATCGCCTATAAACAAGCAACAAGACACGTGTATTACAAAAATAAGCTTGAGAAGCGAGCTTGGAAACCAGTAACCAAGGTCAGCAGCAGAGGTAGTAAGAAATGCTGCCTAGAAACAGGATGAAGACACCAGTACATATGACAATTTGAAGAATTGTTGACCTCGCCTCTTAGAACTAGGAAAGCTACAGAAAAGTTTAGGTTAGGTGAGTCATATCGGCACTTTGAGGTCCAGAACCATAACCAAAACTCTCAAGTAATTGGTCATAGATAAGTGGTGTTAGCCGGACACCTATTCACTTGTACTGCTACACCCATGTGCTGTAACTAATACCTTTAGCCTGGGAATTCCCCTAAAGTATCCAATAGGAGCACAGGACTACTTGTGGATGATGCTGTGTCCTATTTAGTAGGTCGAAATAATACAGAGAAAAGATAGTTTAAAAACCCATGTCAAAGGCTGAAAAGTTAAGTTTTTCCAGACTGAAAAGTTCTCCGGGACTGAGAAGAGGTATTCTGAGTATCCAGAAGTTCTTCAAGACTGAAGAGATGATAATGAAAATGACTAATGTAGCTAAGGCCTCTAGCAAACCAACTCTACTGTAAATATAATCTCTCTCTCTTAATCAGCTAGTGTAGAAGTCATAGAAGATAGTAAATGTATGCAGATAAAGTTTTTAGTATGATATATAAGTAATAACTCGATAGAACTAATGTTTAAAGTGTGTAATGTTTTTGAGAAGTTGTTAATGTTGAATAAACGTTATTTTGAGTGTTCACTCTTGGCCTGAGACTCAATTTCTTTAGTCTAACTGTAAACTTCCTCGAGTTAGCGACTTGTGGCTCCACTCATCACGACAAATCCTCCAATAAATAAATTTGGTGTAACAAGTAGTTTTAATTGAAACTCCAACAATTAAGCCCACCAAGGGCGCTACTCATTACATTCCCTAATTTAAATGCAGAGTACAGTGTTGTTCTATATGCTTACATATGAGAAGTTTATTTCATCATAATAATGGCCTACATTTAGAAAAATCAAGTGAAAACTGAAAATCTATTTTGTGCACATGCAAAAAACAAACCTAAAAAAGTGTTCAAGACAAACATTTATTGGGAACAGATTTTATAACTAATACCTTTGCTGAAATAATTCCTGTATGTATTTTATCAGCCATTTAATATTTCAAAATAACTGACAGTAACAATCTCCATTCCAAACCTCTAACTGGGTGATTAAATAATTATGGCTTACTCCACCTTTCATCGTAAATACAATTTAATAATTACGATATTAACATTTTTATTTAAACATAATAATTTTTCTGAAAATCATAGTTGCTTTTCAATTCACTGCACTTCTATCAAGAGAACACTCTACACTGCTCATATTTTGATAATTTTGACACTTCCATCCTTTATTAATTTTATTGATTTTAACCAAACAGTTTTCCTTTTAATTGCAATTACAGTATTCTAATATGATATTATTTTTAGGAAATAAATTCTATACTGAGGATCTACACTCTTCAGTGAGCTGTAATTGAAGTTTGTAAATAAATACTTTATAATCTCTAAGATTTTACTATTTAATAATATTGGGGAAGTTATCTTGCCAAGCTTAAATTACTCAATCAGAAAAATTTTAGAATACTAACCATGCTACTTCAATTAGTTTAAAAACAGTTCTGTGTTATACTTCTAAACTTTTTTTTTATGACCAAAAATAAATCAATAAAATCTACCAAACATTTTATACTTTTTCAAAAGTATTTTATGCACTTTATTAATACAAGTGACTACTCAAATGTACAACCTTCACTTTATACAGATTCAGCAACTCCTATTCAACAATACAGGGGTTCTTGGGTATTTTATTTCATTTCACTAATGTTTTAATAGTTTCTAATGAACATTCTTATTACCAACAAAACTGTTTCAAAACTCACCAACTAAACCCTCAAATAAGTAGCTTCTTCCTGTTTTAAAACCAGGATTGGTGGCTGTAGTAACCATACTGCCACGTCGATATCGAAACCCAGTGCTCAAGCTGCTCTTGCTACTCCAAACACTGGAAGTTCGTCTCTCTCGAGACACCAGGAACTACACAATACATAGGAGCTTTTGAATACACCTGACATTATATGTTATTTAATTCCTCTTTATGTCATAATGAAAATTCAAACCTATTACTTTATTCTCCTTTTTGCAAGTTAGATATAATGTTGAAGAATTGATTCAAACTTTTTTCCTTCAAGGTAACACTATAGAATGAAAAACAAGTTTAATAGCTTTCTTTTCTATTTATCAAATACCAAAAGAACAACTTGTCCAGACATGTTTCAATATCTGGTTACTACTTTGTGCCTGATTACTAACACTAGAACCATTAGAAAAGTATTCACATCTTGAACTGGCACACTATATTCATCTTGACTGGTACATTTTAAGCATCAGTACTAACTCTCTTGCAACAGGTAGGTCAAAGTGAGTATGTCCTGACCTTGTACAGATTTAGATTCGCAATACAATTAAACTACTTTGTTATTGATGCATAGGAATAAACTTGGCATCAAAACATAGTTAATAAATCAAATTTTAATATAAGTTTTAAGTTATTAATTTTATAAGGAAATATTCAAAACTTCCTCAATTTACCCCAGTAGCAGAATCATAACATTTGTTCTCTATGTGTTCCTCCTTCTCTAATTTCTTTACCACCTTTCTCTGAAGTATGGAATTTAATGTAAAGCACTCATTATAATACAGATACTATATGTACTTCTGCAATGCCCATGAAAGTGTTCTGTTTCAGGAGTAAATAAAACCGAAATTAAGAGTAACAAATATTTTTATTTCTTGTTTTTCAATTTCATATGTCATGCTGTGTTGTAGTGTATAATTCTTCTCGTGATTCATGACATGCTCACATTTTACCAACATCACAACAATACAAATTGCAATGTTAAACATTCCTTATGTGATGTCATTTTATTGTCTATGGATGATTGACAGACAACACACTACTGTATCGTGATGCGAGTGGTTAATACAGGTGACCCTTCCATGTGGTCTTCAGCCCCCTTTCAGGAAATTACTAATGTGAAGTCTAATTTTTTGTAGTCTTCAATCTTATTTCTTTATGGATTCATAAACTAAAAAATCAGACCTATTTTCACACCCACGTCACATCCCTTCTTTCACAAATTGCCAATAATTCTCCTTCCCATTTTATACAATATCTTTTATAACCAATAAAAAGGCAAAGTTTTAATCTACTGAATGACATATAATACTATGTTGTTTTCAGCACAGAGTATTATCAATTTCATCTTCAGTTTCAAAATTTATCTTGTGGTGTTCAGACCAAGCAGCTAAGGCAATTAATTTAAGCCCTCTTGTCTTAGTTAAAAAGCCGGTTGAATTATAATAGTCATAGGATATTGTTTGCTTTGTGCATGATATTATTATGTGTTCATAAGTGCATTACTTAAGTAAATAAAAATTTAGTCTACTATTACCATCAATTTAAAAAAAAAAAGTAGGCTTAAATTTCATTGGCAACAAACAGCATAAAACAAAAGATCAAATGTTTTTCATATATATTTTTTACTTATTGTTATAAAAGTAACTAAAATGTAAAATGCAAAACTTATTAGGTTAGAAAATGTTAGATTAGGTAGAACACTGAAAAAATAATAATAATAAACATGTTTTTATCGTATCTGAGCTCTGTGGCTAGCTTCAAGATGAAATCCCTCATAGTGATGTTTTCCCTTACAAAACAACAGAGTTTATGGCTGTCAGCTCCAACACATTGTAAAATATTGAAACTAGCCACCTACAAGAACCAGCTTGCACTGGATTCTAACACGTAATCTGGTCTACAACATAAACTCTGTATCTTGTCTAACTGTAGAAAAGCACAGTCTCCAGTTTTTATTCCTCACCAGTCCCAATGCTAAAAGATATGAAGAGAACTCAGAATGCAAATATTATTTTTTGGCTTGCACCTGTAAATAATCAGTGCAGTACAGTCACTGTGTTTAAATATTGTACTGGAGTACAACTATGGTTGCAAGTTTTGTGCATGTGGTGGAAGCTCTCTTCTTGTTTTGTTCACCGTTTCAAGAAGGCTGGACTTTTTTTCCTCTTCTGTTAACCCTATCACCATGAACATCCTTTCCTGCCCTTATCACGAGGTTTTAGTGACTTACATTCAAAACTTAATCTCCTCTTCTCTATTTTATCCACCACCTCTCCAATAAGTATGAAATTAAATGCAAGTCACTCACAATAAAAATCAAAACTAATACTTGATATATTCATGGACAAATATTTTTTTAGTTTATTTAAATTACTTCACTAAAAAATATGACTTTTTGTATGTGAAAGACTGCAAATTTTGTTAAGATATACATACTATATTAAAAGTTAGTAGTGTTGCGTCAGCGAGGTCACGTGACTAGTGTCACGCCACTCGTTCTCTCGAACCTTCGTGAATTGTCGGGAGATTACTAGACATAGTGTTAGTCTGGTATATATATAAGACGCTCACAACGTGACAAAAACAGTGTAGATAATGTGTGTAGGTAGTGAGTAATTGATCTGCAGTCAGAGAGTATTGTTGAAGTTAACGTTCGTTATAGTGTTTGTTTTAGCACGAATGTTGAAATTAAGTGTATCGTAAAGTTATATTCAGAAAGAATAAACCAGTTTTATTAAGTAAGGACTTGTGTCGCTAAAGTTTCGTCAGAACGTAGTTACAGAAAATCAACTAACAAACGGAGACGTAACAGTAGTATCAAATCTATAAAAAATTTTAAACGAGTACAAAGAGGTCAAGTGGTCGGTCAAATAGACTGAGCCTGTTTTGAGTGACTTAATGCCAGTGAAGTAAAGAAATTGTTTGTCATCACATTTTTTCCTTTTCCTAAGCATGGTGCCATATCAGCCCAACTACCACATTGTCAGACATTTTCTCACCAGCTGGGTTAGTTTTATTTTTGCCCAGATAAGGGAAACCAATCACAATATCCATTAACAACCCAAACTTGATTTTAAATGTGCCAAATCTGATGAGATGTAACTCTCAGAAGATTCCTTGCCTGTAGAATCCAAAATATGCAATATGGATATTTTGAAATCCACTTACAAGGTAGTGGGGATAAATCTCGGGAAAAAGAAGGATCCCAAATAATACAGAGGCGAGAACTAACACCACGAAAGTAGTTAGAGTAAGTCACATAACACCTCTGGGCCTGACAGGACAAAACAAATTATCATCGTATGATTGATTGTAGAGGTGAGAAATAGTTCGGGAAAGAAATGTGCAGAGGGATGTATCCCCTTCCCTGGTTGCCAGAGACTAAGAAAGAAAGGACCTATCAGGGTATAGAAGGGTAGAAATAAAGAGTCCTACAAACATACTAACAACTTCAACTGATGACATCAGCAGCAACAAAATAACCATTAAGGGAGGGATGATACATGGTACACGAGGCTAAAGGCTCAATTGGTTGTTGAGACAAGGCATGTGGTACCACCTTAATATCTCAATTAAGTAATGAAAAAGGCTATTTGGGAAGAAGGCTGGATAGCACTGGGGAGTCCAAAACCCACAGATGTTTAGGATAACTAAATGGAAATGAAAACATCTGACCTAAATGACAGGAGACAAAGCTAACCCCAAATAAAAAAACAGGCCAAAACAAGATATGTTGGTTTGAGGATACCTTAATAAAGATAGCCAAAGAGGAAGATGCATGAAGAAACTGTAGAAGAGGAAATCATGGCTAGGCCAGCCAATATAGGCTAGCAATATCTAACAAGTAGAGGATTGAACTACAGCTAGAACTCTGAGTAACAGATGTAATGGGGGAAAGTCATAGATGTGCAATCCATCCAAGCAGGACAGAATACATCTACCACCTAAGCCTGAGGATGATCTAGTAAAGACTACAAAGCTTGTAGTTGAGTATCAATGGGTGGCAAAAACTGTCATCGGTGGCCCAAACTTTGAACAAATCTATCAGAAAACCTCACAATGGAGAATCCATTTGGTCAGGAGAAAGCGAGGACTGAGACTGACAATCTGCTATAAAATCCATCACCCCAAGAAAATGGCAAGCCAAGAGGCTGATATGATTGGAATAGGCCCCACAGAGACAGAACCTAATTTAAGAGACCACTGTAATTGATGAAATGTCTCATGAGAATATTCCCCTGCAAGAGATCTAGACCTTGCACCATCACCTGTTGGACAGCAAGAATTTCTACATGATTGATGCAGAAGTTTTATTGTCCATTCATATACTCTGTAATTTCTGTCCTTGAAGATGCACACCTCATCCCCGAAGTGGAGTATCTGTGAAGAGATAAACAATGGACAGAGGGACAGTATACATTCATATACCCCCCCCCCCATATATATATATATATATATATATA